GAGAATAATAACCAATTCGAATGTCATACGTGGGGATAATACCAAAATACTATTGTATTAACTTCATTCCTAATATTGTATATCTTATTAATTTTCTTTGCGGAGAGATTTTTAACAAACATAAAACAACTATGTTTTTTGAGAATTAATCTCCAATCAATATATTTAAAYTATATATTTCTAATAAATGRGTGCGATTAAAGATMCATGGTATAAAYTATCMTATACAATTTGATTTATGTATTTTTGAAAAATGAATGGGTAAACAAAATATTATGTTTTAATTCGTTGATAATATATTAATAAATCACTTGTCCGCGCATGCGCGCGGGTAACACCTAGTTATATATGATATATGATTTTTTTTACTTTTACTTGTTTTCTTGGCATGAGATAAACTCTCGCTTTTATATGACTCGTTTTCAGGCTCTTTCTTGTAGCTGCAATTGTGTATGTGTTTGATGGACAAACAACATAAGTGTTTGATGGACAAACAACATAATTATAAGAGCAAGCAATTATCCATGGCTTCAAACAAGGAAGTGTGTTCGTAAAAATCATGTGAAAACAAAACTGAAACAAAAAAATTTGCATACTTTTGTTGTGTTGTTTTTATTTTTCTGATATTGAATTTTCAAGAAACGATGTTCATGGAGGCATTACAAATATGATACACAAGGAGAAGAAATTAAGATACATAAACTTGAGTTATTTCTTTTCAAGTGAGACTTAAGAAGTCGATGTGAAACGGTGTAAAAGAAAGGAAAAGTCTTTGTGATTTGGTTGTGAATGAAGTTGGTGAAACATTTGGGTCCATCATCACTTCATTAGGCGAGTAACTTAGTTAGAAACCATACTCTCAGTCTCCTTCACGAACCCATCTCCGGTCCAATCTTTATCAGATTTCAAACCTCTCTTCTCTGCTTTTCTCTGCTCAATTGCTTCTTTCTGTCTTTTCACTAAATCTGTGTGTGTTGTAAAGTACTGAAGCGAGTGCCTAAGCCCAACAAACAACGACGACGAAATTGGCTGAGCAAGCAAGCGAGAAGAAGGATATAAAGGCCCAAAAGAAAAAGTGTTCTTACCCTCTGAAGTCTTCGATTGTCGAGAAGTTATGCTGTTTCATAAAATCTTGAAGCTCGGCGCATAAGGTTTTCACGTGACCATAGCCGTGGACCATCACACCGGTGCATACCTTCCAACAAAAAGGTGGGAACTCAGTTTCTCAGGGAATAAAGTCTAAATGTTAAAGAAGTGAGGATAGTGTTGACTTTTGAATTTAGTCACCTGTACAGTATTTGATCCGAGGAGAATGAATTCAGCGGCATTATATCCAGTTTCGACACCTCCAATACCTGAAAGCGAGTAATCTTTCCCACTGAACTCAGATTTCATCATTTTGGCAATGTTCATAACTTTAGCAAGCGCAATTGGGCGAACGGCCTTATAAGAGTATCCTCCTGGAGTTGAGTAACTGCAAAACAGTAACAACATTAGCAATATTCTTCGTTATGCTATTACAAAGAGAGTTGCTAAACTTTGACATTATAAGAATGCTATATAGCTAACCCTTCAACACATGGCTCAGGACGCAGCGTCTTGAGATCAACTCCCATTACACTCATGATTGTGTTGATGGCTGAAACTCCTTCACATCCTGATTTTAGAGATACCCTAGCCGGCTATTCAAAGAAAAAGAAACATGGTTAAAGCCGCAAAACAGAGTAGCAATAACGCAGTTTTTGCAAAAACATGCATCAAAGCTTTTCATTTCCTACAAGGGTAGTCTCTATACAAACTGGTTATCGAAAAAACTGACCGGAACTATCAAAAGGAAAGTTAAGTGTCCAAAAAGGTTGAAGAAACAGGAAAAACAAAGGTGTTGTACTTAGAGGATTAAAACTTCACACCTCTGTTATGTCAGTGATATTAGGAGTCATCTTAGCCCATACTGGAACAGTAGCTTTAGCATTAATCCATCCGCAAATCTCGTCAAGAAGCGCGCAATCTTGTCCAACAGCGGCACCCATTCTGCGTTCTGGCATTCCGTGAGGACACGAGAAGTTGATTTCTAAAGCATCCTACAAAACAATAATCCAAAACATTCTATTCAACATATTATACCAGACAAGAGGAGAAAATTAAAGAAATCAATGTTTGGAAAAACTCACAACACCGGTTTGCTCAACGCGGTCAATGAGCTCTTCCCAACCAGCTTTGTTGTATTCCTCCATGATCGAAGCTATAAGGATCCGATCAGGGTACTCTTCTTTCAACTGCTTAAACTCTTTGAGCATGGTTTCGAGCGGTCGATCGCTAATGAGTTCAATGTTCTGCCACCCAATTACATCTGTTTTGGCTGAGCCATTGGATCCAGCTCGTAGCCGGGCATATCGAGGTGTTACATTGATAACTTTGGCTGCATCTAATGATACCTAA